AGGTGTAGTCATAGCCACCGATTGGCTCGCCGTCTCTAGTTTTGCGCCTTGAGATTTTTGATATCTTTATTCAGCACCCCTCTTTTTAAAATCCTGGATACTCCACAGATTGTGCATAGTGACTCTAACCAGAAGATACCGGTACGATATTATTCCATTTGTAATTTTTAGAATTGTAACTGATAGTTCATTGGAATGGAGAAATACAAATCGAGGAAGATAAGATCAAGAAAGTAAGTTCAATTTTCTTGGATGAATCTTAAATTACTCCTGAATGAGACAGTGTGATTGAAATCGAGACCAGGCTAGGAATGGCAAAGAAAGCAACAACAGACCTCGGGGAATTATGAAAATCCATCGATGTGAGCATGAATATTAAGAGAAAATTAGCAAAGACATTAGTCTGGAGCATTACTCTTTATGGCTGTGAAAGTAGGACACTCAGAAGAGGAAAAGAAGATAATTTTAGCTGAACTGTGGCTGTGGACGCGAGTTCTGAGAGTAACTTGGAGAGAAAGGAAAACAAATGAATGGAAAAGGGAAACAAGTGTCAGGAGAAGAAGGACTTATGAAGATGGTGGAAAAGAGAAAACTGACCAAATATGGTCATTGGAAACGAAGATCTGGCAGTCTGGTCATGGCAATTACTGAGGGAGAAGTATGTGCCAAGGACGCAGAGGAAGACGACGATGAGAATGGATCGATAACATCCGAAGATGGAGAGATGGGACTGGAAATGCAAGGACGATGACCATCACTTGAAACGCCTACGGCCTCACGGGGGCTAAGGCAAACAGAACTGAACTGAATCATATATCAGTTTGCAATGCTAGGTTTTAAAAATTTATCTTAAATAATAAATAAAGCATATGGACCGGAAAATAATCTTGGGTTCTAAAAAATGATGCAATATTTTAAAAAATTATGGGGCTTCGGTGAATATGGGCTGTAGCCGCCCCCTCCCCTCCCCTTCACACTCACTAACTTTAATACATTTTCCCTTTGATCCTCATGATAATAAATAAAACCATCAACAGGCTTCCAAACTTTACGGGAGGTGTTTGTTTTGTTTAAGGTTGTTATGGCAACTGTATTTTGTTTTAGTTAGTAGCCATCGACTTGGACTTCAATCATTAGATTATCAATTCCAATGACCATACAGGTGGTCTATACAATAACAAAATACATGATAAATGATACCAGAACAACTCGCTGATGATACAATGTGGATTCGAATAACAAATAAGAGTTACTTCAGTCATAAACACACATAATGACAAAATAATATGTCGGTGTCTGTACGCGTGAGAATTGGACTTCGTACCATTGGATTGGCCTAGCGGAGGGGTCGATTAGGATTCCCCCGACGAGAGCGTAAGTGGGCGAGGTCTGGCGACGTAGCTGTGGGATTTAAATGACTTATTTATTCGATTTGTCTAACAAAGTAAAAAAAAAAATACATATTTTCTCCATGACGAAAGTCTGCAATTTTTGATCCTGACGAACTGTAATATTTCTTCCCGACGGACAACTCTCTCCGATGGGAGAGATGATGGGGGGATGTTCACATAAGTCTAGAAGCAAAAACAATATTGCTGTTTAACATCAAAACACCAAATGATATGCCTGTAGAGAAGACGGAACTAATAGTAATACAAACTACTCTTTGTGTTTTAAACGGCCCCATCCATCATCATTATAAACAACCGAGACAGAAATTATATAAACGTTATGTTATCTCCGTTTCGCTTCCATCCCTAAGAATTATATGACACATCTTCGAAATGACAATGTGAAGATCACGATCTCATTTGGTAAAATGCGCCAGTGGCGTGAACCCAGCTCCTGGGTGAAATTCCGAACCTCCAGTCCCCGTCTACATCAAGACTATTATAGATATTGCTGAAATTTAAAAAAAAAACTAATTATTTGACATTTTACGTCTGTTGTTTGTGTGTGTGTGTGTTTTTCTGATTGAGAAATTGTAAGCAGATTATAGGCCTATTATTATTTCTATTGCTTTTTCTATGTTTTGTTTTGGCAGTGGTTTAGAGGGAAATCACATCATTTATCGGCTTCTAGACCATTATTCCGGGCCTGTGAGACACGACACTGTCAACAAATTCATGGATTTTGTGTCGAATTCACTGTAATTTCTTCTACGGACTTTTGACCAATGGCGTAACGCCCGATGTGCTCTAAGGGGCGAATTTTCCATCTCCCAATTCAAATGGGAATTGGAGGCATGAGAAACCCCCGCGTACTATCATCTGTGTTAGTAGGTCGTCAGCCCGGCACAGTCCCCAGAATACATGAAAACTCTTCGATCTTATACGGTAGCATTTGTTGTTGAACTTAATACAATTTGTCACACACCATCAACGGCAGTTTGTGTTTAATTTTATCAATTAAAGAAGTATTGTAATCACACAAAATTAATTTGACTATATTGCATACAAAAAACAAGGATAGAATTTGTTTAAAGAAATTAGTGTATCCATTAAATGATGTTTCGGGTGTATTGAGTCGAGATGTTTGGATCATGAGTTTGCATCATAGATGAGGGGACCCTGTCAGAAAATCAGATTGCTGTTAATTAAGATGAAAAGGTGGTAATGGGCGATCAACTGGAATGTCTTAATATTTACAAGTTTATCAAGCATTTTTATGACAATCAGTCCGAAAGTATCACAGTGTCGGATTCGTGAATTCCAAAGGGGAGGGGGGCAGGGGAGATACAAATGGAGGGTCAGCCCAACGATGGTTGAGGCTGAGGTCCGAAACTTAATGGCTATGGCACCTTTAGATAACCGGGAATTCTGACTTAGGTTTCAATTGAATAGACCCATTGTCACTCCATTTCTATGTTGGTATTTACTTCTATTTCCTCTTCAATGCACTCTTATATGTACACAGTGAAGTGGGGCTTCATGATTTAATGTGGGGGAACTAGCTCGCAAGTTACGGTGATGAGGTGATTTTAACCACCGAGTGTGATTTTTTGCTTCGAACATTTTCAACTTGACTGGTGTGGGGCTGAGCGCGAGTATTTTCCTGTCATCCCCCGCACCCCCTGGCGTCAAATGGAGGTAGGTAAAATATTAATTAATATGCTTAATTACTGTCAAAACATTTGATATACCAATTCCAGCTCTCATTGCTCATCATAATTATTGTTGAATAAGGTTCCTCCATTTTGTCTTATGATACGGTAGTGACTGACCTTTGGCCGTTTAGACAATTAAATCGAAATAGAAACTATTTCAGTAGAGAAAATGTGAGTGAAAATGCTGAAATGAGGGTCACATATCAAAATAAAAATTTAAATACCAGGGGTAAAAGATACCGTGTACTTCACTCATGCACATAAGGAGCTTTTGATTGCACGACGACGGTAGGAAGTAGAACGTAATGACGTCACTAAAAGTCATCTACACATGCGAGAACGTTAAGGTCACCTCGTCGAGTAGATTCTGAAACGCAATTTGGTCAAATCTACGCATGCAGAGAACGTAGTACGCCAGGTAGGACGGTCACGCATAAGTGATTCCGTTCTAGCGTCGCGTCGTCGCACAAATCGCTCCCTATTGTATATTATATTGCCAACTGTTAAGCCCTGTCCCGATTATCTAATTTTCTTTGACAAAAAAAACTGGTGTATGCCCATATATAGTCATGATGTGCCTATATATGGTCAGGATGTGATGTCATCATGACCACATTTAGACATGTCACAAATAAAATTTGATAGTCTTCAGACCAAATGATAATTAATATAACAATTGATGAATAATCTACTTATCCCTCCACATCGAAGCGTTATCTAGTAACAGCTGTCATTAATTATGAGGTCGAATTAATTAAATATTAATATGCACCACAAATAAATATGTTACAAGGTATATGCCTACACCAGGTCGGAAAGATGACGGTCTCTACTATCCTAAATATTGAATATTTTGGCAACAAGACATTGTTTATATATATATATATATATATACTGTCTCTTATACACATAGGTTTTCCAAAAATAAAATTACATCAATCGGTGATGAACTATTGCCATTGGTCACTCAAATGAAATCGACGCTTCTTTGTAGGCCTACAGTACCATAGGCCAAGTTATTGGGAAGAAATTTATTTAATCAATGGTTAATCGTTGGTCACTCAAATGAAATCTACACTTCTTATTACAGTAAGCCTACAGTACTGAATATAGGCCAAGTTATTCGGATGATGTTTATTAATCAATGGTGAACCATTGGTCACTCAACTGAAATCTAGTCTTTTTATTATTTGCCTCTTTAAATATGGCCTATATAGGCCTACGACAATATTATTCAACAGTGAACCATTGGTCACTCAATAGAAATTTACGTTTTCTTTTAGGGCCATTGAATATTTAGGCCATTATACCAATAATGACAATCAGTTGAATATTTTAGACCATTATACCAATAATGACAATAAGTGGGCCCTATCTAAGAGTCTTGAAATAAGAGCTCAACGGTGAAGATGGGGCTCGAAGATTAGATGAGGGGGAGCTAGCTCGCAAAATAATGCGATTTGAGGTGAGTTTAACTTGAGCGTGATTGTTTTGCTTCGAACATTACAGGAAGGAGACGGATTCGTCACTAATGACAATGTTCGATCAACAAGGAAACATGGTCTACATTTTGTATCGGTCAATTAAATAATTAGGCCGTCTTAGAAAAAATTTCTATCAATGACACACTCATGGCAATCCACGCTTCTTATTGAATACTGTATTATGCCATAGGCCTATAAGACAATATTTGATTATACCTCCGTAATCTGATCAGATTTTTTTATCAGAGAGGAGAGAGGCTCTATGATGAAGTTGCATTAGTCAAACCATGGACATGTTGCAGCATAGTCTTCAGCTGAGGCGGATACATTATAAGAAACACACTACTAAATATATGTATGCCAGACACATTTTTGGCCTACTACACACGATATCAATGTCTATATCTCACCTTTGAAAGTCTGAAGGCCCAGAAGAACAAAAAATCAACATTCGGCGGCACTTTGCTCGAGGTGGCCTTTGTATAGGCCAGTTTCTGAACGTCTCATGAAACTGGAACTTTAAAAGCTTACCATAATTCGTTCTAACATATTATTTACATTCTGTTCTCTGTAGACAACGAAGCTGGTCACACTCATATGATCTTTACAGTAGTTTAGTCCCGTAGTAGCATTGTCCTGAATTTCCATTTGAAGAAGTGAGCGTTATTATGAATTCGTATTATGCTCTGTCTGTATAGAGTTCATCGGTTCATAATATGCAGCGAAGCGCGAAAGTAATTAAGGCACAGCGAGTGAACGAGGAACTTCTATCACGTTTAGTTAATCAGTAATAGTAGTAGGCATAGTACTTAGTAGTAGCTGGCGGTCAAATATGCAAGGGATAAGTAAATAAACATACAAAATACATAAATTTAGTTTATTTCCAAAAAAAAAGACAATTAATTGTCTGTAGTGTTTAATTAAATAGAAATAATAATAGAAATACCATTTAGCATCCTTAAATTGATTAATTCATATTTTTAATTACAGTAGAATCCCTCTGTAGCACCTCTATTCAGGAGACACCTCTATTAGGGCTATTCTTCCGTTAAACGAAGGGGAAATATTAACAGGACATCCTACAAATTAAGAGGGTGGGGACACTTTCTGAGTGTGACAAGTGGTCAATTAGGGGCAGATATTGTATTGCATCACAACAACAATAGATTCAAGATCTCAATACTAAAAAAAAAATAACAAAGTATATATTTTATTGGCTATAATTCAAATTAGCTTATCCTTAAAGTTAGGGTTAAACTACCGGCTAAATACCCCATCTGGCCAATAAAAATAATTTTGCTTTTAATAGCACCTGAATAATGAAACAATATCGGGAACAATAATATATATCGTTTGTTGTTTTAATGATATTTATGTTGATTTCATATAAATGAATCGTACCGGTATTTTATTTAGTTATAATTGTATTGCAACACGTCTTTAAGTTAATTAAAAGATTCTTTGATTCTATTATAATTAAATAATATTATTTATGTAATAATTATTGACTACGGTGCTAAACCCAATTTTTAAGCCCTGTACATCCTATCAAATCTTATGTGTCTACATGAAATGCCCATATATAGGCATGATGATGTCATATTACACCTAAATATAGGTATCACATTTGTTTGTCACAAAAAAATGTGATTGTGTGGGCAGCAGAGCTTAAGAACACAACAAAGAGGTCCGGGGGAAATGTCACATGTCCCTTTTTTTAATAAGGCCAGGATGTCCCCTGAATAGGGTCCTCTATTTCAGGGACACATACCAAAAATTACTATATTTTACAGACCAGGATGAGCAACGTACCAATTCGAGCGTCTTCATAGAATACAAGCAGAGGTGATTTTGGGTGCATGAACACTTTTTGCAAACAGATAAACTATTAAGCAATTATAGTCAGGTTTTGAGTATGTACTAGACAAAATAGAAACTGAAGGAGCAATTATTTCCTAGATTTTGAAGGAAATAGACTCTTAATTCTACTATTTCCTAATAGTGTACGAAATTACTTAGACTATAATTGCTTTATAAGACAGTTGTGCAGTCATCGTTTCTACTTTATCCGATGTAGAACAATTAATGACACATATATTTCAGGGGCGGATTAGGAGGGACGGCCGGCAGCCCCGGCACCCCCCCCCCCTCGGAAAGTCAGAAAAGGAAAAAAAGAAAGAATGAAGAAAAAAAAAGAAAATAAATCATCGCTCAAAACGCCTCAGAGGTTGTTTTCGGGCGTATAGAACACAATCTCAATCGGCCCCACTTTCGCCTCCCCACCCTTTTCGGACATCTCTGGATCCGCCCCTGTATTTAGGTGTGTGCAAGTGTGTACGTGTTTGGATATGTACATGTATTTTTATGTAAAATAGATAGATGAATCTACGAGTGATTTAGGAAAACGATGCTTTGTAAAAGAAAAAAGTTCTGGTATTTCTAATGTGATTTTTGACATGTTTCATTGTTGTGAGAGCCTCTCGATAGTAAGTTTCTTTTAGATAATTCTCAGGCTTGTTTATGATTCGTTTTTTTTTTTCTTTTTTGTATGTATTATTCTTGTATGAGATAATAAATGAAATGAAATGAAATTATGATGTTTATCTTTAGACAATGTTATAAATGTATTAATTTCATCCGTTCGATTTGTGTTAATTGTACAGCGAGAAAACAATAAAAACAAGAGTGTTTATATAGTTAAAGAATAAAATGATTTGTACTGCCATATTAATATTGCTAGTATTATTATCAATTACATTATTATTATAAAAATTATTATTCATATTATTATTAGTATCATTATTATGTTAATATTAATATTATTTATTTTATTTTTATTATTATTATTCTATTGTAATGTAATGATTTTGTTAAAATGAATGACGTAAGTATGGATAATTAAAAAAGAAATATATTGTTAACTTTTGACAAACATTTAATAATGTGGGTCCCACGAAAGAGAAACAAGTAAGCAGTAGACACACGCTCCCAACGGGAGCCTATTTTTAAACATGACAGCTAATAATAGGCTTAAACTTTGATCTTAACTTCTCGTTTTGAATTCGCTATTATCAAAGTTGTTTGCTGTTTGTATTTCAATTCACAATTTATAATAGGGCCTACTCTTATTTCATTGTATCAGAAATGTTTGTACAGTCTGGTAATTTGTGTTTATATTTGATTGTAATGCAAGCATTTTAACTTTATGCTACCGCTTTGTTTGTTTTCATTTATACCGTAATAAATAAATAGGTCTGATAAATCAGGTAAAAATAAATGAAATACTAGTAGCACACAAAAAACCCATGTTCATTGTTACTTTCTTTTTGACCGACAGTAATGTGACTTCCGTGAACTGGTTCTTAGCCGATAGAGGGCTGAATTAAACCAAACAAAGTGGTTCGTTCTTGTACGAGTCATTTTTCTGAAGTCTAGGCTTGGCAATATTTGTTATAATGTCTTCTGTGAAGGAATTTGAGGTAATTTTGTAACCTTTTGTTATACTGATCCAATAAATGTTTCATATTGTATTACTTTATATCGATAACCTTTATTCAAACCTAAGAAGGCCTAGCATAGAAGAAGGCAGAGGCTGACAAGATATAGGGGCCTAGGCCTACAGTACAGAGAGCCCGAGCGAGGCCCATGCCGTAAAATAGGCTATAGTAGGCCTGGCTAGCTAGGTAAGCTAGATGCCCTGCCCTGTCTGAGTACTATAAAAAATAGTAGTAATACTATCCTTGTAGTAAGTAGGCCTAGAGTATAGCATTCCCACTTTCAAGATACAGTTATTTTTAGAGGCCCAGTAGGCTAGGTTTGTATGCTGTTCCGTATGGTATAAATTTTTTGCAAGAAAAATCTGTCTTATGATATATATATATATATATATATACACAATGAAATAATTAACACATGCGCAGTCATACTTTAATAAACTTGCATTCGGTCACGTAAATTTATCAATTCTGATTAAATAAGTTTAACTTTCAGCACCCAAAATTAGCATCGGCCCAAGCTCACCACTGCACTGATTTAAATAATTTTATTTTTCCTACAATAGTATGTAGTTTAATCATTAAGTAAATTATTAAATCATTGTGTTAACTTTTCAAATAAAAGTGATATTGTGAGCTGGAAATATTTGTGTTCTTTTCATTTTACTCGCGTCACTTGTTGAATAAACACACTTGACCACGTACAATACCAGGTCTACGCCAAAACATGGAGGTTCCCTGCTAAAACTAAAACTCAATTACCACAAAATCAAAACGATATTCTTCTCGGCCTAAGACTCTATTGTTGTATGGTAGTCAATCGTCAAAAAGTAAATAACATTTTAATGTTTTCATTCAAACACATTTATTCATGTTGGCACCAACAAAAACAACATCGTTATAGCCTTTAGTCAAGTGTCGAGTGTGCAAAGAACATCAAGAAAGACCATGTTTAGAGAGCATGGAATCAACTCTAACAAAGTAGGCTGTAAAGCAAGATGTGAACAACGAGTATGCATGTATTTTCTGTAAGATGTGTAATTATTACAAATAAAGTACTTAGAAAAAACAAATATTTGTTATGTTTTTATTCAAACACATTTTCCCATGTCATCGCTAACAAAAACAACATTGACAGTTAATTTGAAAGAAATACCACGCTGTGCATGTCTCTACGAAGTATGGATGCAGAGAACATGGAATAGCCTCACTCATACATATTTTGAGTGAAAAGAATACAATTACGCTTACTTTAGCTTATCACAATGATTCAATAATCTATTTAATGATGGAAATATACTACTGTAGCATATTTAATTACGTTTAATTACAAGGGTAAAATCAGAATTAAGTACTTATTTACAAATGCCAAACCTCCCTATAAACTACATTTACAAAAAATTCATTCAACCAATGCAGGGATTAATTAACCCATGTGCGTTGATTTGCCTTTGATTCAGTCCACTCCTTTGTTTTAAAAAAATTTGTTTTATCAAGTCAATGTATTTTTACATGACTATAAAAACTTACACGGAGAAGATTTGATTTTCATACACCGTGGATTCACAGTACAGTACATTCATAAATTTAACTTGCCAAAGGGCCTCGGCAAATTAGTGCAGTAGTGAGCTTGGGCACCACGGCTTGGGCTGACGCTAATTTTGGCTGCTGAAAGTTGAACTCAGATTAACAGACATTCAACCAGAATTGATAAACTTACATGGCTGATAATGCAATTTTTTTAAAGTATGACTGCGCAAGCGTTATTTATTTTATGGTGATGTAAATAATCCACTTCTTTTTTTCAAAACCTTTCTCCAACAACTGAGTAGATTTATTACCTGTGGTCAAACTGGTACAGATACCATAGTTCATCGACTATAAGCCCACCCTGGTTGTAAGCCCATCCCCTACAGTACTGTTTTATGCCTAGATTTTTGTACCAGCCTTTTCTCAAGCAAAAGCCCAGTGTATGATTTGAATGAGTAGTTAGCTGATTTTTTTACAATGCTTTCATAAACAATTTAAAAATTGGCTTTGAATTAGGTAGGCAGTTTTGAAAAATTGCCTTTTAATTGAAAAGGTATAAGGCCAACACCCCACCCCCCTCCCACCAAAATTGGCTTAATTTTGTGTTCATGGGAGATGGGCTTATATCAGAGGAACTATGTAATCTTGGTTACTAGTTATTATTTTTATCCTGTTATTTAGAACCCATACTTCGAGCCCACTCATTATGTTGAGCAGCTGGTGTGGCGTGTCCAGGGTGAGGATAGGAAATATCGGCCTGGATCTGGAGCCTTTAATGCAAAGCAGATGCTTATTGCATTTGAAAGTACAATAGAAGAATTGAAGCTAATGAGTATGAAAATGGATGAAAAAATAAAAAAGGAAGAATTGTCTTTACAAAATGAAAGGACAAGGCATGCAGTAAGTGTTGATGGACTTCGCAAGACTAATAAGGTAAGTCTAAAAGTCTTGTAAAAAATTCTAAAAATACCTTGATGTCAAAAGAAAGAATCGAAAATTTCAGCTTAAATTTCAAGCAGTCTTTAATTTATGACCTTTTGAAATTAGGTACCATGCCCCCCTTTTCATTCTGTAATGGAACTTTGTACAGTTTTTGCGATCTTCTCGAATAAATAAATAAAAAAGTTTTAAATTCATAGGCGTAAGTAAAACTAATAATTGTTCTAGAATTGTGTCAACCAACTTGAAAAAGTAAGGCTTGTATAAAATCCATAAGCTGAAAAAAACTTCCAGTAAGTACAGGTGTATGTGGAGAAAATACACAGTTAAAACATTTTCTTTGGAATACAAAAATTTGGGTAAGCAGTGCATACTCACCCTTCCCTCCTTAATGGTATGCCAACTTTATAATTATTAAATTCCAGACATGGAATTAATTTTTTTATTTATATTTATAGAAACTTGACTTGAGTTTATTCATTATACCGTAACATCATAACAATAAATAGCAAATATAACAATGATTTTCTTAAAAGTTAAAACATAATTTGAAATACAGTAGGGAAAAAGATTAAAATTATACCAGTAAAAAGCGATGTTGTAAACCGTGGTATACTAGGATAGCCCATGACAGTTGTATAAAAACGACTTATTTCTAATGGGTTTTCGAGAAAAAGAACAGTAGTCATAAAATGTAATTAATAGGCCGCATTGCATAAAATAGTAGATTATACTTTAATACAATTATTAAAAGTATAAAATTCCAATGTTAAAATTTATAAATTTAAAACAATGTTTTTAAAAGATATTTAAAATGGTATTAAAGATTAGTAATACCTTTAAATCTTAATTTTCATGTTTTTGTCAATGATGCTGGATTTGGCATTTCAAGCCTCACATATTTTGATTTACTATTTATATTAGAAAGCTTTTACCAACTTTCAAGAACTAGATGAACACATCAGTTCCGTAGCAACAAAAGTCGTCCATCTTGGTGATCAACTTGAGGGAGTGAACACGCCTCGGGCTCGTGACCAAGAAGCCCGCAAACTCATTCATTATTTCTTCATGTTCACCAATGAGTTTGAGCCCCAAGCAGAAATATTTAGTGATCCATTTCAGGTACACATTCATTGATATATTCTAGTAATTTTTTTTTGCTAAATGTAGGTGTTAAGATTTTTTGTTTTTGAAGTGGTTTTATTTCCGAACATTACTATTTAACAAAATTGTGAATTTTTGTATTTGAATAGTTGAGGAGCGATGCTAAGACAAAATGATTATAACTGTAGCATTTATCCTTTCATTCATTCATTCATTTCCATTCATTCCCATTCATTAATCCATTCATCTATTCATTCCCATTCATTCATTCATATATTAATTCGTGCATTCATCCATCCATTTATTGGCCATTCATTCATTCATTCCTTCATCCATCCATGGACCTATTAATAGGTCAATGATCCATTCATTCATTCATTCATTCATTCATCCATTCATTTATTCATTCATCCATCCATTTATTTATTCATTCTGTATTTAGCTTTTCATAAATGACACAATACATTTGGTTCATAACATAAAGCAAAAAATAACCAAAACACTGAAATTAATCAAGTCTAAATCTAAGAAGGCAAGCATTAACAAAAGCAATTAAATTCACAATTGCACACAAGCTTGTTAATCCATCCTTAGAAAAATAGATTAATACAAAACTATAAAACTATAATATGTTATAAAATGTAATTCTCAGATTTGGCCAATATTTATTAATGTAACCATCCACACATAATACTTATAAAATCCCTTTTTAAAATACATTCAATTTACTTGAACAATTTCTCATTTTCTATTTGTAATAGTTAAATGAAGCTGCAGATGTTATCCAGAAGCTATACTTAATTGCCCAAGAACTACCAGCAGATAAGTAAGAGAATAAACCCTTACATTACCTCTACTTTAATTTTATTCAATTTTCTCACAAGTTCAAGGATTTTACAGACTACCGAAAGCGTTCAATCCTTATAAAGAGATTTAGTTTGCCATCAAGCTAAATTGATATTGTATCATGTAAACAATTAAAATGGTCTGCATCCATTGCCAAAACAAAGAATAATTACTTATATTATATATAAATTACTTATATTATATATATAACTATATTTGTGTGGAGTTGAATAGCTTGGTGGTTAAGATGTTTATATCAGATGTTCTCTTTCTTTTACAGGTTTGCACATCCAAAAAATAGAATAACAGGTATTGTTGGTTTTGATATTTTTTTTATTATCATTAATTTGTATTTTTTATTTTTTTTTTTTTTTACTTTTTGAAGGTATGACATTAAAGTGCTCCTCTCATGTCATGCACAGTACTAGGGAACTTTCGATTTGCGTGACGACGAAACACTAGAACAGATTCACTCATGCGTGACCATCTTGCATTCTCTGCACAACGCAGATTTGGCCAAATTCTGTTCTAGAATCCACCTGACCACAAGAACTCAACGTTGTCGCATGCGAGATGACCTTATGTGACAACAATATGTTTTACGTCCTACCCTCGTTGTGTCATCGAAAGGTCCCTAATGTGTATACAGTACACCACACCATTTAAGCTTGTGATGATCAGATACAGTGCACCATACAGTGGCATAACAAAGAGGAATGTAGCCGCATTTTGAAATCATTTTAACTTTTCATAAAAGAGTCATCATTATCATCAATTTATAGTCTGTAATTAATCCATGCTAGTAAGGGTTGGACTGTTCACCATGATAGCTTTCCTCCAGTCATTTCTATTCTGTGCATTTGCATGGCTTATCCTTAGCTTATGGACATCAGTCTGGTAACAACTTGCTCCCAACTCTTCCTAGGCCTTTCTCTACCTTTGGATTTCTCAACTTCTATCACCCTACATATAACTACACCCACCCACCTCCCCTCCCCTGGCCACAAGCATTATGCTTTGTACTTTTACAAAAATGGTGGAAATAATGAATGTTCTTACAAGTTATTGTTGTTATATTGTTTTTTTTAGCCCAATACAATGCAATTGAATTTAATTTAATCAACGAGTTCCAGATTGCTCATAATGATGGGGATAAACAGAGGATGCGGGAGCTGGCTGACATCTTGCTTAATTTTAAGGTAATGATGAGAACGGTGTCAGTCGTCAAGTGGCCATCAGTCACATCACCATGAAATTATTATTTTGAAGGTTTTCCTTAAATTTTTCTTACTGGTCTTAAGCACTTGATATGGGTGCTTCTAAGTTTTAATTTATGTAATATTAATGATAATAATAGTAATATAATGATTATTATATATTATGATGATAATAATTCTAAATGGTATTTTCGTCAGGAGATTCAATAGGACTTAAGTTTTGCCCTACGTGTTATCATAGTGAATGCTCAGTACATCCCCATATACTTGCAAAAAAAAAAAACCTTGCAGGTGATTCGAGGAGGGATTTGAACCCACAACCTCCAGATAACTAGCCTGGTGTCACTAGACCACCGAGCTGGCTATAGTGTCAAATCCGATCCCCAAGTAGCAGTGGGTACTGCAATGCTTTTCTAAATGGTGTTTTTGTCAAGAAGTAATGATGCACCATATATATATAGTGCATATCACAATAATATGTTATTAATTTAGTTAAATTCTCAACATTTTTTTCACCAGGGATATAGTCGTTGTGTTGAATCATTTATAGAAACCAATCAAAGGGTTAGTATAGTTATATTTTGTGTCATTCTGCAATGTTTTCCAGTTCAACTTCATTCCAAAATACAATAGATGTTTAATATAAGAATAACTCTTCCAATTATCTTTGTCAAATATATACAATAAAAAACAAGCAATGAGATTTTAATTGTAATAATAATAATAATAATTTATTCTTTATAGCGCATTGTGCTAAAAGACTCAATAATCTTAATAATGAAAGCAGGAAAATTTAAATATTGTTTAAAAGGGTGAAATTTTAAGAGGGCTTTTAACTTTAAAACTTAAATTAAAACAAAAATAGATCAATGCATGTGGTATAGTTTCCATTATCCACAAATCTTCATCAGTGCCTTAATGGTAAAAGGCATGCAATGTTACAAGTATGTTTATAAAACACATAAATACAGCAAAACGTCTATTTTACGAACTTCAATTTTACGAATAGTCGATTTTACAAATGGTCTTTACCCCTGATGACGTCAAAATAAGTCCGATTGCGCACGTTTTACAAAGTGGTAATGTATATTTTTCTTCAAGTTTGTTGTATTTATTCATTAATCGTTCGATCTTTTTTCTATTTCTAGTATAATATTCACTATATTAATGTAATAAAAACCTAACCAGAACAACAAACAACACAAGTGTCGTCGGATTGAGCGCACATGTTTACAATGACGAACGAGAGTGTTGGGGTCAGCAACTTATTGACATCGTGAATGCTAGATATGATCGCGAAATGCATGTAAACAACAAAATTCGGTGATCTAACAACTAGAAAAAACACTTTAGAAAGGGCCATAAAATATACAGATGTTTGAATAAGAGTTAAAATAATATTGTGTTAAGTGGAAGAATGCCAGCGATTAAAATAATTTGGTTTTTATCAAAGGTAAATTCAGCTAGGCTCTAGCGCGTTTGACCACGCTGCTGCACTGTCGGTTTGTGCTAGGCCTGGCCACCGTCAGCCTATCGGCTGTCTCTTATACACATCTAGATGTGTATAAGAGACAGGCCCTCGCTCGGGCTCAACTATAATAGTTCTCCAAAGAAAGCAAATTTTCAGTGTCTGTTCAAATTCTCTATTGTAATATCTTAACAACTAATATAGTTATTATTATAGACAACTAATTAAGGGAATGATGGTCTATTATGAATTATTAGGAAATACGTTTTTGAACCACAGACGGCAGCTTAATATTCATCCGCGTTACCGGATCTCTAAAATTTCGTCTGCTATTAAAGTTAGCCCTTTTACACATCTAGATGTGTATAAGAGACAGACTAAGTGCACATAACAT